TCCCACACAAGTCCCATATCGCATAACCTTATGAGTCACATCAACCCAGCAACAATCTCTGAGAATATACCAGCTGGAACTATATCTGAAGGGCAATCGGAGGATGTTAAGGCTGATGACGCCTCAAACCGCTCTGATGTCTTGCTCCATGGCATCCATGATGAACCTTTTATTTCAGTGGCAAATGAGGACATGGATGACACGTCCTGGGCCGGGACATACGGAGACTATTGCAGCCCAGGGCCTTTTATTTGGCAAGAGGGGAGTGACGGAGACGAAGTCAACAAAGAGAGCAGGTTTGATTTGGACTTTAGGGCAGCCAGTAGAGAGGACAGGAACTTTGTGTGCCCAATTGCACTCAGGAAAATAATGTCTGGACATGCTCAAGCCCTGGTAAGAGACCGTTTTCCAAATATTTAAACATTTGACACTTCATTATATGCTAGGCTAATTATATAAGATTGACTATTCTTCTTATTATGTTTTATTTTTAGCCTGATGAGGAAGATGAAGGTTTTGGAGCTCCTGAGGTGCTATCCCGCCAGAGCCTGGGTTTGGTTTACACTACCATTGAAGAAAAGCTCACAGAAGTGGCTTTGCAGCACTTATCTGACCTGCTGCAGCCTGGTTACTATCCCCCCAAGGATATTACCTCCCACCTGCTGCGCGGCGTTCTGCTCGACCACCAGTGTCCTCATCACCGCTGCGTGCAGGCATTTAACCTGCTGATGAAGACACAGAGGTGAGGGAACCAGGGGAATAAGAGTTAATAGTATTGTTTTATTTGTTGCCTTTCGTATTTAAATTCTTGATCTATCCTCTACGTCCTCTCTTTCATTTCCTCTTTCTGGTTCCATCTTTGACTTCAGAGATTAAAGCTGCTTTCTGATTGCAGACACCACATGGCTGATACAACTTCAGCTCCATGGGACTGGGAGTTGTTGACCTCAGTCATGGCCAATCAGGTACCAAACCAGATAGCAATATTTGTGATTAATCAGAAAAGCTGGTTGATACATCACATGATATTACACTTTTCCACTGGTGTTGTTTAACAAGACTATGTTAAATGAGATTTGGTTGTAGCGTGAGAAGTGGGTTTAAAACAACTTTTGTGTCAATGTCTTTTAAGAAGCACAAAAACAAATTGCCAAAGTACTGTTGCATTGTTGATGACATCATTAGGGAACAATATTTCGTTTTTCTGCTCACTGTTCCAGAAGTAAACAGACATATCGCAGCTTGTCTGTGTTTTCTGTCAACTGATATTGTCCCTTTCTGTGCTTCTAAATTCCTAAGGACTGTATACAGAGGCATCGGAGGGAGGTTGTGCGTATGCTCCTGGATTATGTTGTGCAGACTTTGGAAGATGACTTTGGGGCCAAACGCTCTCTCTCTGCCCTCCACCACTCCATTGCCAAGACAACGTTGTCATGTGATGAGCAGTTCCCACGCGTCAGGTGCGTACCGTTTTTTGTTGAAACTGTGAGGAAGCTGTAGCTTTATGATGCCCTTGAATTATCGTTTGTCTTGTAACAGTGATCTACTTTTCCTTTCCTGTGCTTAATGTCCACATGTGGCTTAACAGTGGCATCTGCTATTAAATACACTACTAAATAGCTACATGTTAGTGGTTGTTCGCCCTAAACCTCACTTCTTTTGTTGTAAACTAAACTTATAGCTGCCTTACAAGAGTTAACACCCAAGCAGTCCCTTGACAGATTTGATATTCTTTGTTATTTCAGGTTAAATTACCGATTGCTAAATCAGTATTACAATTTGAGAAGCCTGTTAATTTAAACAGACCTACCAAAACTCACTTTGTTACAATCCACATTTTGAAATATACAATGAAATATTACAAAACCAATTTGTCAGCGCAATAACATTATAGTTTATAAAGACATGCATTCTTGTTATTTCTAGGGAGATCATCAAGTGGCTATTTGCTGCCATTAGGGAATCAACGGAGCCTGGAGACAGTATAGAAGCAGCCGGAGAGAGGGTTGAACAAATCCGGTAATATACACATTTTGAAATATATTTTTTGATTACATTGTCTTACGCATGGATGTACCATTATGGCTGCTTCTATGTTTTTCAAGTTATCAAGTTTTGGTCCCTTTGTCCCGTTCAGAATGGTGTCGACCTTCCAGAGGATGTTGACCTTGGCTCTGGAGGTGGACCGCTCTCCAGCTCTAACCTCTGCCAAGCTGTCCCAGGAGCTCTTCCACATACTCATCAGCAATACACCTCTACGAGCACACAGGTGACAGATGGGATGTTTTGTATCACGATTAAGGGAAAGTTGAGAGGGAGAAAATATTGGCTTTCAACTACCTTTTCCTGTGCATTGGGTCACTGGAATTATTGTAGACTTATGAAGGTGTCAAATGTTATTTGTTATTTAATTGGTACATCCAGTAAACGATTTATAGTGTATTGATGTGGCTTTTAACAAAAAAAGATATAACAATTAGTAAAATATCCTTAAAAATAACAAATGAGTGGAATCAATGTCACTTTCTGATGATTAATACATGCAAATGGACTCAAACTGTTCATAAATGCTGTAAATGGATTAATTATGCTAAATGGATTCCCCCTGTTGAACATGGATTTTCTATGTTTGAGTTGATTTAAATTGAAAAGATGCTTAACAATAAATACAAGTGAGAATGAAACAGATATACATTTTGCAGTCTATATCATAACATGACACATGATTTTCTTTCTTGTAATAATAATCATTTCTATACAGTTTAAACATTTTAATTGCATTGTTTAAATGTGAACATATTTCAGACTTCCATGGATAGTCTTTCAATTAATCCATTAAGTAATTAATGGTCAAATAGAGTACAAATTGAAATGATTCTAATGGCACTATGCGTCTCTTTTACCTACTTTTCCAAGCCATCTCTGATTTATCTGTTTCTGACGACCAGGATGTTGTTGCTGGAGAGCCTGCAGAGCAAGCTGCTGAGATGTAAGCTGTTGGAACAACTGTTGGACTATTCGTGCCCACTGAAAATCACTCTGCCCATGTCACTCAGTCTTCTGCTTCACTTTTTGAAGCACTGCACTCTGGCACCAGACCCTTCGGTGAATATCACTCTTGCATCTTGTTTTCATCTAAGCTTAACCTCCACCCGTTGCTTTTCACAGATGTGAGGGTATTAACATATCTCCTTAACAATAAAAGATTGCTGAATTTAAATGTAAACACAGTGAAAACATCTTAGGTACATGTCATATCCCCAGTAGGGATTTAGAATGCATATTTTGGGGAATCTGAAAAGTAAGAGTTTGATACAACATCGTAACTGGCTGTCCATGACTGTTCTCCAGGATGGTACTGAAAGGTGGCAGAGGTGGGAAGAGTTGGTACATCTTCTCTGGATGTTGCTGCTCAGCTACAACAAAGCAATGAAAGGTGAGAAGTTTATAAATTCCAGTACATCTCATAACAACGTTTGCTGCTATAATCATGACATTTCTCCCTGTAAAGTCTGTGAAATGAAGGAGAACATATATTTTTGTAGTGACAATGCTAGTTGTCTGAAGTTAGCTTTCCAGTGTTCTACTGCAAGGAAGCAGACAGTGCTTGGATCCTGTGGGAAACCTCAGACTGCAGTGAAAATGCTAAATGTGTAGCAGTACCACATTTGTGTGTTTTTTAATCTATAATAACTACTTTGGATTCTTTGTATTGAATACACTTTTCTTTGGGTCATGTTATGCCAAATTTGACAAAATAGGTTCTTGGTGAACTTTGTACATATTTCCTGTGCTTGGTCCTTGATTTTTCTTCCCCACTGTATACACATTTTTGTATTTTCATTATATTTAAAGTATAGTTGTGAAAGTGTTTTAACCACTGATGTCAGCGTAAATGACTTGTGCAGAAGAATGCTTCTGAGACATGGGTTATAATAAAAATCTGATAAACAATGTTTCAATCTGATGCCCCTTAATACAGTGTACCATAATTCTGACTATTAAAACCTTCCAACAATTTAGTAGTAAAAATGTAAATAACTTCACTTGACACTTCCAAGCAAACTTTGATTTTCTACTAACAATTGTATCTTTTATACCCAGGCTATCTGAGCAACTCTATCTCTGAACAAAGAGGCAGGGTTGGCAACTGGGTCTACAAACCAGATGATATGGTATCGAAGCCCGCCATTTGTGATGCCATGCAGGCCTTCCGTTCCAGATCGCAGGCTGACCTCAACCAAACCTTACCTCTCCATGTTGAAGAGTCCCTCACTTATCTACAGGATCACCTGCTAGATGTCTGTCAGTGTTGAATTAAAAACTGTTTGTTGGACGAACTATAAAGCACTAGGTCTACAAACCAGATGATATGGTATCAAAGCCCGCGATTTGTGATGCCATGGAGGCATTCCGTTTCAGATCGCAGGCTGACCTCGGCCAAACCTTATCTCTCCATGTTGAAGAGTTGCTCACTTTTCTACAGGATGACCCGCTAGATGTCTTTCAGTGTTGAACAAACTATTTTCAGTTTGTTGTATGAACAATAAAGCATTAGACTAAGTTATTATTTATTTATTTTTTACATTTATTGGTTTGAATTCAATTGTTCAGTTTTTGGAATCCGAATAAAAGCTGAGCCTTGTCTGGTCTAATGAAATTCAACTATATTGACTACTGTCATCTCTTAATAAATTAACATAATTTTCGAGCCAGTAAAGACCTATATCTGCTTCTCATCAACCACAATCTTCACTTTATCTTGTCATACAAATGCAGTACACATTATTGATTCCACTGCGTGTACTTTAACTCTGCTAAGTATTCAAAATGTGTAAACACGCTATGATAAATTAAACTGCTACTATTTCCATCCATTTTATGATCGATCACTCATCACCAAAGATTGTATTTACTCTGGTTCAACAGCTGGTTGGGCCGTCTACGCGCCGACCAATAGGATCACGCGCTGTTATCGGCAGAGAGAAAAAAAATCCTTCAGTCGCCATGATACAGCAGCGGAAACGGGTGCGAAGTAGCTAGAAAACAAAAGAGAACACGCAGTGGTCCTCGCTATTTGGTATGCTCTTGCAGGTAAAAAGGCAATTCTTCCTGTTGGACCTAAACTGTTTTCACTAATTTCACCCAAATGTTATGTAGATGTTCGAAGCGTGTTTGTGGTTTTCCGAAGTAAAGACTAGTTTAAATGGGAAGTCGGTCAGCTTCGAATAATTGGGATCTGTTAGCTTATAGCTAACAAGCTAACTCAAGCTAAGCTAAATAGCTCACAATTGCTTGCAAACCCAGCGTTGTGTAGCGTTGTGAGCTTGTTAGCTCACAGTTTATCTCAATCTCAATAGTGATTCTTGCTACTGGAGGCTAGCTAGCGGCAGCTAACTAATGCGCTGTTTCGTGGCCTAGTTACAATGCGCAAGTCAGTGCTTTGCTATTATGTAAACAATATTTGTGCAGTATATTTTTATGTAATTTAGCTTCTTTTTAGCTTAACCATTCGGACAAAGCATTACAATCAGTGAACTAATTGGCAAATGTACCCAATTCCGCGTGTCCGTTTGCAATCTTTGGTAATTAGCAAGCGAGCTAGCTTCTAGCTATTTTAACGTTAGCGTCTGTTATGTATAGTTTGATAGCCAACGTTACCTATTTAGGTTAAGCTAGGCTAATCAGTTAGCGACCACCGAGAGGAAACATCTACCAATCTTAATTTGTCTTAACGTCTTTACTGTTTTGGAATATGGCTTTTAAGTTTAGCTCTTTAACGAAGGAATTCTTTGTCGTTTATTGTTAACACAGTTAAGTAGTTTGCTATCTTGCTACGTTGCTGGTTTAATGTTTATTATGTAACGTTAACGTAAGGAATGAAATCACAGCCTCATAAGAAGCAATTTAGTGTTGGTTGTCAGTTTGATTATGGTACTCCAGGCGGTTAAATTACTGTTTTTGTTCAACCATATCTCGAACAAACGTGTTGTTTGTGTTTGATTATGGCAACATTTAAAAAGTGCCAACATGTGTGCATGAGGTATTTTGGTCAAAAGCTCAAGCAAACACGGTTAACTGAACTAAACCACCGTTAACCTTATTAATAGCTTTAGTCTGAGGACACAATTACTTAATTGATTTACAAAGAGGCCACCATTGGATAATTTTGACTATTTCCATGCACATTTTTTAAAAGCACAAATATGTATCTAGTGTTATAGGAATGCCCAAGGAAAAATATGACCCGCCGGATCCCAGGCGGATGTACACAATCATGTCCACTGAGGAAGCAACAAACGGGAAGAAGTCATACTGGGCTGAGCTGGAAATCAGCGGTGAGTATTATCGTAGAACTCCTAGCTTAGTTGATAATGGTCTTTAATTCATACCAGTCAGACATATCTCTTTATTTTTGCATATAGATTACGCACAGTAGGCAGTTTTCCTACATTCAAAAAGTCCTATTACTGGATTGTCACTTTTTAAATATGAAGTGGGTAAATCAATGTAGCTCGGCACATAGGTCATTTGAAGAGCTGCAACTAAGATGACTTTTTATCCTTTACTCTCTTGATTAAGCAGTTTGCCCATAACAAGTCAGAAAAATATATAGAATATATATATATAATAAATAATATCCAGAGTTTCACTGGGCCAAAGGTGAAATCTTCATATTTCTTGCCAAAGCTCATCATTATACAGCATTTTAAAAATAACCAAGGCCAGTGAATTGTGGGCATATTCCATCAAAAAAGGAATTTAATGATTCATCCATTATCAGTGTTATTTATTGGTAATTCGTGAGTTTGAACTATTTATTTGAATTGGGAAATGTATGTAGCCCTATAATTATGCTTGAGCATCATCTAATAATTGTGAAATCAATCAACCCTGTTCATTGCAAGGAGAGGGGTCATACAGTAGTTTGATACTTGGCTTTAATCCTCCTGTGTGTGTGCATTTTTCCCCCTGTCTCACAGGCCGAGTAAGGAGTCTCAGCACATCCCTGTGGACTCTCACCCACCTCACTGCCCTGCACATCAGTGACAACTCATTGTCACGCATCCCGCCAGACATTGCCAAACTACAAAACCTGGTGTACCTGGATCTCTCGTCCAATAAGATCAGGAGCCTGCCGGCCGAGCTCGGCAACATGGTGTCTCTCAGGTTAGTTATTCACAGCTAAACGTGTGCCCCCTAATTTAGGCACAATAGAAAGGAAGACTAGTTATTTCCATTATGGCAAAGTGAAGAGAGAAAAAAAAGTATTTATTGTAGATCCATTGAATATCTGCCCATATTGTTCCATATACATTTCAAATTAACAATGAATCTGAAGTTAAACAGGCAAATGTTTTTGGTCAACTGTATTTGAACAGGAATAAAGTTGGTTGTTTCTCAGGAGGTTTGATTTCTAATGATCAAATTCCCCTATGTCCTCCACAGGGAACTGCTTTTAAATAACAACCAGTTGCGGGTTCTGCCATTTGAATTGGGGAAACTGTTTCAGTTACAAACACTGGGGTTGAAAGGTGAGTGGCTCACCGAGGTTATTTTGTAGCCATTCTACCCTTGAAATGTCTTTGTTGTGTTGGCGACGATTCAGACTGATTTGCTTTCCCTTCACCAGGAAACCCACTTGCACAAGAAATTATGAGCCTCTACCAGGAACCCGATGGCACGCGGAGACTGCTCAACTACCTGTTAGACAATCTGGCAGGGGCTATCAAGCGCAGTAAGTACCCCTCTGTCTGAAAGTAGTTAAAAATGGGGTCATTGTGAACCCGACAGCTTAATGTGCCGCTTAACTTCTTTGCATTCATTTTTCATCTGGTCACAAATATTAAATATTTGTTGTTCTTTGCTCAGTACCAACAGAGCAGCCCCCAGCCCGGTCATGGATCTCAATCCAGGAACCCGACAGGACACGGGACTCAGGTAAAGACCAAACACATGAAACTAGGGATGTCACAAAAACCAAGACTTTGGTACCAAGTCGATGTCATTCCGTTTCACAGCAACTCAAATGGATATTAGAAGCGTGTTTGTGAAAGAGATTCATTTGATTTTAATGGTGGTATTGAACTAGTATTGTGAATCCTGCTATTTCACTGGTATTCTTTTTTCTGTTTCTGCCCTCAGCACTGTTCTCTGTGATGTGCTACAATGTGCTGTGTGATAAGTACGCCACACGACAGCTATATGGCTACTGCCCCTCTTGGGCTCTTAACTGGGAATACCGAAAAAAATCCATCATGCAGGAGATAATGGGCTGCAATGCAGACATCATCAGTTTGCAGGTAAGAGATGGACATCAAAGCATTTTCACGGGAATTAACTTAAGCAAACTTAAGGCAAATGTAACAAACACCATCAGAGACAACTTCATACAGCTCAAAAAAGACTGTCAAGTTTTCATTGACCTGGAATCGGTCTGAATGTTTTGCTATTTATGAGGCAATGTTTGCCACGTTCTGATGTTTGAAAATGTAAGATTAGAGTGTCCTGTCATTTTGTAAAGTCTGTTGTTTTTGTTTTCATTTAATGTGTTTTTGTATTGAGTTTTTCTAGTATATTATTTTACAAACATCTATATCAAATAGAGCAGGGTTAATATAGAGCACAAATATACTTTATTGTATTTATCAATTCAAAATGGTTACATCATTTCCCATGCTTGCTGGTATTATAGCTGTCGCTCCTTCCTTCAGCTGTATATCTTTTAACAGTATCTTACTTATCCAAGTCTTGTATTAAAACGTTAAATGTAGGAATACAGTTGGGTTGTTTTCGGAAGGGGGTATTTGTTATACTATCATGACTGCCAGTCTTTCTTGTTGTCAATCCTGACGAGTTTCTCTCTGATTAAAGGAAGTTGAGACGGAGCAGTACTACAACTACTTCCTGCCTGAGCTGAAGGAGCAGGGGTACGAAGGGTTCTTCAGTCCAAAGTCACGAGCCAGGACCATGTCAGAGTCGGACCGTAAACATGTGGATGGTTGTGCCGTTTTCTTCAAGACAGAAAAGTATGTATCAGTTGTTTGACTTCAGGAATTATCTCACTGGTCTGTAGTTCCAAGATTATATTTTATGACCTCATGTTTTAGATAGTTATGAGGACAAAATGAGGATGACACTGAATTTTGTGGCTGCGTTATTAATAAAGGGTTATTGTGGTGTATTTATAGTCGATCACTAAGCTTGTGAGATTTTCCCATCATTGAACAGATGCAATACTTTTTACAGGGTAAATACGTATTGCATTGTAAGCCTTTCATTCCAGGTGTAATCCGTAATGCTGCGAAACTGAAACATGTGCTGTTCCTTTTATTGCTGTGATGATATCAGCTTGGCTGAGTTTCCATTACTGACCTACCTAACCAGTTAGATTATTCTACAAAGAGATGGTCTGTTTGTTGTAGCCCTGAGACAATTAATTATGCTCACCTTGATAAAGAGTTTTAGAAACTTTCAAAACACAAACTGTCTGCATTTATGCAAAAGTCAGATCATTTTGGACTGTACACTGAGGTTGACATTGACGGCTATTTTTCTATACCATAGTACATATTTTGTCTACATTTTGAGAATCCACAATCTTAAATCATTGCACATATTTAATGTATAATATGGATAAGCGCTGCTAGGTAGGTGCTGATGAAGAATTCTGACATCTGCTGGTCCACCTTCAGTGAGCCTGAGTGGGAGTTGTCGCTAACTTTGGAGATAACCCCTCCCCCTGAATCAGCTGTTGGCAAACAAGATAGGACAGGGAAGTTGTCTTGGTATGCCAAACATACCACCACGTGATGTGATTGGGAAGGCAGCCAACATCTCTGGTTCTGTTGCTTCTGCTTTTTTTTCATTTTTAACTGTCAGCATGAGTCTGATAATGTTATAAGAATGCTATGCTAAATCGTCCAATGTTAAGACGATCGGGATGTACATGTATTCACATCAAACTGTTCAGTACAGCATGTTGGTGTCCTTTGGTAAGGCTCTGTGACACAAGAACTGTTTATGTTTACTACTAGCCCATGTGGAACCGAAAGTCTGGTGTTAGCTGTATCATGCTAGGGAAAGAGCTCGATGGACAACCATTTGTGTGACCTGTAAGGTACCACTTTTGAAGTTTAGTTGGATTTGTTTGTGGAAACACTACAGACATTTAAACAACTCAAACCCCACATCGCTCAAACCCCGCCAAAGTGATAAGTAACGCAATAGCGTTTATCACTGTATTCGGTCACATTTGAGCATAAATGGAATGATCCAATATATACAGTATTATTGCATATGGACAGTGTTATGACGACTGCTGCGACTTGCTCAGCCTATTGTGTCTGACCTGTTACGAGCACCAAGGAAATATCAACTGGTCAGAGTTATATCACGGAGCGTACTTTTGCATTTAAGATATCTCGTTTTATTGACTATATCCCAGTAATTAAGGGCCTCAAATGATAGTCATTATTAGGGCCATTGATTAACATTTGAAGGGTATGCAGGGGTAGACATTAAGGGTAAAATGCCACTGGCCCCACCATTGTAACCACTGGCCCGGAGGATTCGTCCAAAAAAAATCGACTAATAATGAAGAAAATGAACACATTTGTTGCAATAGTAATTTATGCACTAACTACATTACTACTTGTACTACAACATTTGTATAATCAGTTCTTCCTCATTTCCCTCAATTGTTCATATTTGGTTTATTAAAATAATGATACTGTGGTCATTGTTAAAAAATGTCTGCTATTATTATGAGTGTTATTATTTGTATAATACGCTTTCTGCCTTCCTGTCATTATCAGGAGTTAGACATGTAATGGCTATGTAGTAGGTTAGATTAGAACCTTCATTATCCTAAACTGCTGGGACATTTCCCTAAAGCCAATACCTTTATATTTTTTCTACTCTTCACTTACTTGTCAGCATAGGTCGGCATTGATGTACAGAGCCGACAGAAGACCTTGTTTATATTGGCATCATATTGAGAGGTGCAGTGACGCGTCCTAAAACCAGGAAGCTGGTTCGCTGCTGGTTTCCTCGACAAAAAGCAATGGGATTTCTCCACAGGGTTTTGGAAAATAGCTGGAAATAAGGTCTGTGGAAAACAAACCTGTTTGATAAATGCACGTTTTGTTCAGCCGGATAATATCCACATGTTTACCCTACTTTTATCATTTTTGAATCATAAATCTAATTTCGGAAATTAATTTAAGATTATAAAAAGGGTTTTAGGACGCGTCACTGCACCACTAGAAGCTCCATCGATCAAGCTGGCTGAAACTTTCTCTCCCTCTTCTTCTCATGCTCCCTGTCACTCTCCTTTAACTCCTCCGTTCACTTTCTTTTCGAGCCCTGGTATGTTGAAATGTATACAAATGCATCAACAGTAACCACAATATGAACATACTAACCTGTGAATAATGTGGACCGTTGCCTTCCAAACATGATGAATGAAAATGAAATGTTGTTATTGAATTATGACACAACGTTTTTATAAATGTGTGTTTATTATATATCCTAGAGATTGATGTTGTTGTGGTCATGGCAACAAAGACATTTGGATTTAAACAATTGTATCATAACATATCAAATGTTAACTTATAACAAATAAACATCCCGTTGGAAGTGATGCGTGCTTCAATTAATCAAGTTGCATTATCAGCTGGCTTAGAAGCACAGTTCAATGTTCATGGCATTGCATCACCTTTATTCAAATTGTAGAGTTTTGAGAAGTGGATAGGAATAAAAGTGCTTGAGGTGATGGTGAAGTAAACAACTAAATGGGATGGCTATGTGACTTTTATTATAAGCCTGTGTTAATCGCATGAACATGTTTATGACTTTGATGAGAAGTTTGGTCCAAGCAGCAGCTGGCAGGACTGATTCTGTATTTGGTCACCATTTGAGTTGAGGGGAAACCAGATGATTCTGCCACTTGGCTCATATGTTTTGATATGCCATGCAGATGTTAATCTCCAGGATCTCATCCCTGCCTAAACACGTCCTCTCTCCTCGCTGTGGTCCAGGTTCAGTGCCGTGCAGAAGCATACAGTGGAGTTCAACCAGCTGGCCATGGCTAACTCCGAGGGCTCCGAGGCGATGCTGAACCGGGTGATGACCAAGGACAACATCGGGGTCGCTGTGCTGCTGGAGGTCCGCAAAGAGATGATGGAGGCCTCTTGTGAGTTGCACTCTATTCTGTCTCGAGACTTCTTATTTGATAATGATATAAATAAAATCATCTAGCCCTGCTTATCTTGAATTGACATTTGTCTGAAACTCATTGAGCAGTTGGAGTGACAACACAAAGGATAGTAGGTAGTGGTCCACATGGGCATGGTGCATAAATAACCTTCTTTTGGTAATTACGAATTCCTCTTTCTATCTATTTCCCCTCCTCTCAGCTGGAAAGTCACTCCATGGCATGGAGAAGCAGCTGCTCCTGATAGCCAATGCCCACATGCACTGGGATCCAGAGTACTCTGACGTGAAGCTGGTCCAGACCATGATGTTCCTGTCGGAGGTGAAGAACATCGTGGACAAAGCCACGCGCAGCCTCAAGTTGTCCTCTGTCTCTGGTGAGACCAATGCCATTCCTCTGGTGCTGTGCGCTGACCTCAACTCCCTGCCGGACTCTGGTAAGTTAGCATGGCTAACTGGTGTAAACGCTCATCGTAGCCCTCCGCCATACCTTCACTGGTGTTTTTATATTCTATGTATAGTTTTATTCCAAGATTGTTTGCTGATTGACTACGCTATTGTCAGGAAACTATTTTCTTTGGGTTATTGTTTTAGTTTTTTGTTACACTCGCCTAAAGCAACGTTCTCACTTGCCCAAATGTACATTTTAAGTTGTTTTATGATAGTAAAATACATGTATTTGGATTTTGAACCGACAAAACCAGCAATTGAAAGTGACCACATGCTCTTGAGAAGTGTTCTCTGCAGGTGAATCGACCATATTTAATAGTTTATGCAATTTCTTAGCACAGGTTTAACCCTCTCCTAAAATAAGATGCGTCAAGATCCTCTTGCATGTAAGGCTCTGTTAATTGTATTGTTGCCCTGATGAAGTATTCCTGCTTTCCTGCTTCAATGTAGCTATATCATTCAAAACAGGACTTTATTGATATCACACAGCTTTGTTTTGGTGTTTTTCTTTCCAAATCTCCCAGAAAGGAGTGATCTGAAATGTTTTCCTTTACATGGCAATATCTGATTCAATTGAATTACTGCTTAAATGTTACAGCTGATGATGCTAAAAAATGACATTTAGCGTGACATGTCGTGCCGTAGGAATTGATTTGGGACCTTGAAGTGCTACTTGACTTTTCTTGATTCTAATAAAAACGTCTCTCTCGTCGGTTCAGGCGTGGTGGAGTACCTGAGCAGTGGGGGGGTGGACTGCACCCACAAGGACTTCAAGGAGCTCCGCTACAGCGACAGCCTGACCAAATTCAACTGCAACGGCAAGAACAGCTCGTCCAACGGCAGGATCACCCACGGCTTCAAGCTGAAGAGCGCTTACGAGAACGGCCTGATGCCTTACACCAACTACACCTTCGACTTCAAGGTGACTGCGCGGACCACTCGGATATTAGCTTTGTGTATACGCTACTTGTTTATTAGCACCATATCAAGGTTGTATCCATCTGACGTGACTCCCCTCTTCTCTCCCCAGGGTGTCATCGACTATATTTTCTACTCCAAGCCTCACCTGAACGTGCTGGGTATCTTGGGCCCTCTGGACACCCACTGGCTCGTAGAGAACAATGTCAGCGGCTGCCCACACCCCCACATCCCCTCCGACCACTTCTCCCTCTTCAGCCAGCTGGAGCTGCTCCTGCCCAACCTGCCCCCCCAGGTCAACGGGCTCCACATGCCTGCCCGCAGGTAGTGAGTCCCTGCCACACCACCCGGGGGGGGGGCTGCAACCACAGCCCCTCACTTTCAAACCCTCCTCCCTCCCACTACCAGCCCTTCCCTCCACCATACCGGAGGAGGAAGACAAATACACAACCTGTAAAATATTCGTACAGTGAGGTCTGGCCGACAGGGATTTCGTATAATGTTATAGATATTCTATATTTTTCTTTTTTCTTTTCTTGGTTTTCTTTCTTTTGTTTTTCTTTTAACTGCTCGATTCAGTCCTGTTTGTGCATCATCATTTGTGTTTTGGACTCCCTTCCCTCCTAATAATCCACCCACCTACTTTGCATCTGTCTTTCAAACTAGAGGGGATGGTAGCTCGTTCAGATTTGTCACATGGGGAAGGGTTTGCTTTTAGAGTATGGGGAAGCTGAGCAGTGGCTGATGGGATGACATTCACCTAAGAAGCTCCATAGCAGACGGTCTGCTTATCTGTCTGTCCTGTATAAATCTGAAACCAGCAAAGACAGCAGACTTGTGACTCTCAGACCTCCTTCCTTGGCTGGTGCTTGTTCTCTCGTGCTCTGGGCCGCCAGCGGACTTTCTCAGTCTTTCTCCGGGGCACACATTCCTTGAGTCAGATGCTGTTGGGTTAGAGCAGCTTTTAGCTGGTAGTTAAGCATCCCAGGCAGCTCGCATGAGGTAAGATTTCCTGCTGTCATTCTGTGGTGCTGAAGCCTTTTGTGCGGTGACGGCCTCCCATGGTGCTACAAGATAGTCGACACCTCTCATCCTAGCTCCGGTGCATTAGCTACCAAACCCAGCGCTTCCTCGAGACGCCAGAGAACTACATTTGTCCAGCTTCACATGTGCTGTCCGTAGGATTTGTGAGGGATATGTTGAGAAACTGAGAGCAGCTACCATCCTGTTTGCAGACCGTTTCACCCACGCTGCTGTAGTTGTAAGGCTAGTCTCGTGCTTATGAGCTCATGTGGACCGCGTACCCCCATTTTGGACAAGGGGTAAGGGATTTAGGCTGATGGGCAAAGCGATGAGGGGCTTTCACAAATATTTTCTTTGTCTCGATTACTTTTAGGGCAGAGAAAGCGAGTAATGGCTGATACACAGGAGTTAAACCAGCATTCCTCTCACTGTCTGGAGTTGCCATCCAACTCCACGCATGCAAGCTTAAACACACTCTCACACACTTAATTGCATAAACACACACAGGTAATTTGCAGGCAGATCTGTAGCACTGTCTCCGAGGCCAGTAGTGACTTTCCCCAGCCATATATTCCATACACGAAAGCAGTGGTTTTTCACAAGTGTTTGTACAGAATAGTTATCTAGACTCAGTCTTTACATGATTGTATATGAACCACAAAAGACCTGTTTTCTGGTGTTTTTTGTACCAAGAGTAAATTATGATCAGATTTGGAAAAAAAAGATTGTATTGTAAACTATGGCTAAATTTTTATCCAGTTAATGTTAAGATGAATTGATATTACCAGCTTGTACAAAAGACGTAGGAAGAGGTTGTTCAAGGCGTTCACTGTCACTTCTTTGCACTCCCTAGAGATTAACTGTAATTCATTTATCAGTGCTGTTTTACTTCCCCCTCCCCCCCCCACCTCTGATGTTGATTTGATTTGCTGGCATATTGCTGCGATTGTAAATAGACACTGAGTAAACTCTGCCTGTTGCTTCTTGCCCATTAACAAAGCCATCGATCCACACTGCTGCCATCCGTTCAGACAAAAGGACACGCACGGATAGGTCACAGCCCACCAGTGACTCCACATCTGCTCCTCCCACGCACTCGCGCCAGTGACGTGTGACCAATACGACCGATACTAATCCCACATGTACAAGAAAACATCGTGCCTCACTGTAGCAGTTGTCGTTGTCTTGCACTATTTACATTTGACGAACGCCTGAACAACCTTTTCTCCTTTTATTTTTAAATACTGTTGAGACATTTGTGAAGATTTTATGTCCTTTTATTGGTTTTTGTTAATGTTGATTTCCTTTTTTTTTTATGAGCTGTGACAATGTTATGATGATGTGTATATCCTTCCTATTCATTGAGCTCTCTAGTAATCAGGTATGCTTTCTCCGCCGACCCCCCCCCCCCCCACTTAAGGAACATTTAGGAGGATGTCTAATCTTTATCAATTCCTGGGATTGTCTAGCTCCCTATTTGTACCTTCACACAGCTCCATGCCCAGACCCCCCCCCCCCTCCCAAAAAAAGTGTTGCCCTTAACCCCTTCCCTGGCCATGAATTTTTAAACCTCCTTAAGCCTGTCTATCACTCTATACGCCCAACCTCAGACCTCCCCCTCCCACTATATTAATCAAGCTGTGTCTTTTAACCCCCTTTGCTCAACCACTTTGTAAAGTTCTCTTACCCTCGTCACTGCAGCTATAGTGCCATCTGTGGACCTCCCTACCTCTGTGTTGAAAAAGGTGGAAGGCCCATTTTGCCCTGCTTTTTGAAGGAACAAGGGATGAGGGGCAGCTCAGCTTTCTCTCTCTGAAAGCCAGGCAAAGAAGTTGCTTTGAATCCAATTTGTTACATCCCGACCAACATGTAGTCTGCCCGTGGCGAGGCGGTGAATTCAACAGACTTGTTTTTACACAAATGCACCGTATGATGAGCATTCAGATGCAGCTCCCCTCACTTCTTGGCCCGTCATATGAATTGACTTAAATGTATAGACATTTTTAAAGCAAGAGGGAAGTAAATAGGAAGAATAAGCTTAGTCCTCAGATCAAGGGTTGTCCCATTTGTTTCCCCCTACAAGTTTGTCTTTTAACCTTTTGTTTTCCAGTGGAAACCAATGTGTCCAGTTTGATTTTTTTTTTTTCTGAATGGCATTAGTATTGTAGTAGATTTAAAAGGCTAGCTTTTTTTTGTAAAGTGTGAATAAAAGATGTAACTCATGTTTCCTTTCTAAAAAGATATTGAATTGTGTTGTGTAAATCATGAATTCTATGATGTTTGCTACATTGTTTTTACTTTTACTCGGTATATTTTTCCCCCATATACTCTTAATCCCATCACAAACCAAATCCTCTGTAGAAATCACGAGACGTTGATGGCTTGTGTGGAGTTGAATGTTCCGGATGGTGCCTCGTAGAATGAAGGGCTGAGAGCGTATGGAGGGATCAGTATCAGTGGAATTAGTAAAAACTTTCAGAACAGGGATATACATTTGTACTTTTCAGCTTTATTTAGGATGTTGTGTGGCACTAGCTGGAGAGTGTGAGCCTGTAGGGCAGCAGAGCTGTCTCTCAGCAGTTCAGTACTAGAGAAAACTGTTCTGGTAAAACGTGTTTTTAGGACTAAGCTGGTCGCTAGACGGCTCCTGTGATCCTTTTGGGTTTTACTAGACCATTTCACTCTTCTTGTGCATCACAGTGGTTAATCACGTTACACTAGCTAGCAAGTAGATGCTTTTGATAGTCACTGATCTGACTCGTCCTTTTGGTTGCCGACCCGACCCTCCCCATTGCCCCCTTGTTTACCACACCTTATGGCTTTTGATGGCAAATCACAGAGCTGAGTTACCCTGTAAGCTTTTGCGAGTGGTCACATCGTTGACTTTGTACTTTCCAATGTTGCATTGTGTTTTGTAGTTGTTTAGGCTTAGAGTAATTTCCCAAGCTGCATCTCTTTCTAACGGTGCACACCAAAGCTGCTTGTAGTCTCTGTGTAGAGCAAGTTTCACCAAACAGTCACACATTTTTTTTTTTTTTCATAGACTTCATGAAAAGTAGGGCTGTAAGCAAACCAAGATACTTTTTTTCCTTGATCACATGAACATGTTGCGTCCATATCCATACTCTTGTTGGGGTTTGGTTTCTCAGTCAGCTCATTTTAAATGCATCCTTTTCCAAAATAAACTAGGCAATAATAACAGAAACATTCAGACACATTTAGAATGGGTTTTTAAATATTTTATCTAGAAAATGTAGCTATCATCTGTGGTTGTTTGTTTTGACTTTGCACTCCATCTTTAAACACCTTTTCCTTTCCCCTTTATTCACCATCTTGTATATTTGCTCATCTTCTCTCTGCCGATCTAGTAGTAGTTGTTCAATGATCAGGATTGTCTAACTGTAGTCAGCGAAGTACATATATTGATCTGTGTTTATGCACTGGACCAACTATTGTTTACCATTCTTCAAATACCAGCAAAAAAAAAGAAGAAGTATATTGACATAACACTTGCACAATGTTGTAGAATGTCCATTAATCCCGATGAGAAATCAAGGCAGCTGTTTTCAAATCAACACATACTGTTTTAAAAAGAAACTGAATGGTAAACAATGCTTTTCGTTGTACCCCTTAGCCGTCCTCTCTATTCTCTTTGGACTAGTTTGGTTATTTTTTATTATTTCTGTTTGACTACAGGTTCTGCTTGTTTCCTTTACACCTTCCTATGTATTTTCCTACTTCTGGTTGAAAATAAATTCTATATTATCTGTTTCAAGCTGTGTCACCTCTTATTCTTTGCAATGAATATTGAGAAATAAATAATTTTTCAGTTGTCCTTGTATTACCGCCTTTTGCTTTCTTGTTTCTTTTTCTAAAGAACGTTTCCTGTCCTTTTCAGACTTGATTTAACACTCGACACAACATGAAGCTGTATTTTCGTTTTCTATGTCGGGCACTATACATTTAAAAAATATCCTCAGAAAGAAAACAGACTACTTAATACTCACAATGCTTTCTTTCGCTGTATCACATTCAACACAATTCATGTTGCGTGTTGGTTGATGTTGAAGATGAAAGTGTTAGAGGCTGGATTTGGGGCCGAACAGCTTGTGTGTTTTCATTCCACCCATATTAAGCATCTTAACTAAACAATGTGGACATGTTCAGTTGAATTTAAAACCTGCAAGCTCATATCATTGTCACATTATTCCAGACTAGTGGGTTACAGAGACCATCTTGGTTGAAGCCTCTGTGTCAAGAAAGTCCCCCCCCCCAAAGTGTCCTTTAGTAAGACACTGAACCATTATTGGCACCGCGGGGGCTGTTTTGTAGTCAAGTCTGACCTTTTGATTGTCCTGCAGGAGGACAAATGAAAAGAGAATTTCCCATTGGGGATCAATAAAGTTTAACATTAACATTTAATACCTAAAATAGCCTGGGGATAATAGTCTGTGTATTATCATTAGTAGACACACGATGGAGCCAAAGGACCAGGCGTTGAGAGCTGATCCGTCCCGTGTTCTCTACCGGAGGAGGTAACATGGTGCCAGGACAGAACGACCCACTGGTGGCTCATAACGTCAGCTGGAGTGATTTTAGAGCGAGCAGGAGCAGTGTGAAACAAGAAGTTGAGTAGAGATGTTATGTTGGGGCACAGCGGGGGCACAGTAATCACTCCCAAGATGTTTTATCAAATGCCAATAGGAAAAACATTGGGTTAAACTTGTCCTAAATAATTTAAATACATTTATTTTTAATGGAATACCAAAAAGAGATGATTACAGGGGAGGATGTATCTTCGGTATGGTATTTACAACATCTGTAGACACTGAGCTCCTCCTCACTATTGTCGTCATGATTAATCCATAAATCTTGGATGAAATGATAATTGATTTAACCATTAAATAAACAAACTGAAGTCATTTATCACTCAGAAATGCCAAACAATCCTTTGAATTGGAGATTGTTTATCGTAATAAACCTTTTTTTAGGGCATTGTTAACATTTTTGCACAGTTTATAATCAAAACAATTTAAAGATAAATCAAAAACGGAAAAATCAACACTCCTGATGTCTTCGTATTCTTAATATAGAGCCCTGCTGCATCTATAACAAGAAGGTTTCTTAGGAAAAAGCGCGCACATTCTCATTTTCTCACAGTGTATTTTATGCTTTAGCTGCTGTAGCCACTTTATTAACACTTAATCGATCTATAAATATCAACTCAGAAAAACATCAATAAGAAAAGCTTTACACCCTGTGTAAGGCTTTGGTTAAAATGGAAAATAGTGATGCACTTTTATTCATATTTTATGTCGCTTTCTGGAAAGTCCTACAAATTCTTCACAAATAAACTTAGTAAGGATTGATAAAAAAAATTGAGGACTTTTCCTGTAATGACACAATAAAAACAACTTTGTCAATCTTAGCCTTAAGACAACAGGAGTGTTAATCAATGATGACAATGCTCATTCTTGGACTCTTCTTCATGCTCGGCCTGCCATGAAACAACAGGCCTTTAATCAATGTGGTTTTTCCCGGAGGTGTATTGCTTGTGTTCGTGTTTCGTTTTCTGCCAATCGTGGCCTGGCACATTTTTCAGAACATAGTGGACTTCCACACTAAAGTGCTGCAGCTGTGTGCATGACATTATTACCATTAACAGACCTTCAGGCCTGTCACCGTCATAACAGGATGAAGTGGTTGTAAAATAAACCTTTCGCACAACTGGAAGAGAATATTCAAAAGATCAAACATGCACAACAGCAAAACATAAAGCAACTATTTCATTTTTTGCAGAACGAAATTATCATCGATAGATCTACAATCAGGTTTTAGCACACACACAGACCTTTAACGCAGCATAAGCAAAGAGCCACAAGGCTTACTGTTATTAACCTGAAATGAACTGTGAGGGGAAATATTATCATCACATGACTGCTCATATGGGAACCAGAGGCTTTAAACATGCTGCCTTTATTCAGCCGAGGTAATCTGTTCAAAATCAGGGTAAGGAAGTTGGAAGACAATGTCAAAGGTTTTCCAAGAAACACATTTTCCCTCTTTACGGTCATGAACTAGTTCTTGTTTAGAATGGAATGTTCTTGAATAACTGTCAAGATGTGCGTTGTATGACATAAGAGGGAGGATAGGGTTCGTTGTTTGTATGGAAAGAAAAAAAGGGGGGAGTGAAAAGAGATTTCCCTTAACTTCACCTCAATGTTTGCCGACTATCTGTCTTGTGTTGACGTGGCAGCGTGATCTAAAATCCTGCATAGTCCTTTGCAGATGTAGACTCTATCGCTCCACTCTTGTTCTTGTTTGTTTTCTTCCTTCTCCATATCCTCCTTTATTCCTCCTCCCCCACTCTATCCAACCTTTTTTTTTATCCTTTTCCTCTGAAATTCCCATTAGTGAGTCTAAGTTTGTTTGTGTGTGTGTGTGTGTGTGTGTGTACCACTACTAGGCCAGTTGCCTGTGTGATACTCAGCCAACTTCTCCTAACATGCCCTCAGAGTACTTTCTCTGGGTTCCATGGTTATGGATTCAAGTTGTTAAGCTCCAGCAATGAGCACATGAAATATAGCTGCATGTGTCTGAGAGTCCAGACTCACAGCCATCAAAGCAGAGAATATCCTGAGAATGTTCGGTGGAAATCACCTCAGCTAGTGAACCTAAACGGTGAAACCATTTGGTGCAAATTTGACCAAATGATGATTGCTTGGAAACAGCTTTTATTGTGGAGGGGAATGACACCTGGGCATTTGCTGGTCTGTAAAACAGCACATGCTTATGTGTGTGTGTGTGTGTGTGTGTGTGTGTGTGTGTGTGTGTGTGTGTGTGTGTGTGTGTGTGTGTGTGTGTGTGTGTGTGTGTGTGTGCGTGCGTGCGTGCGTGCGTGTGTGTGTGTGTGTGTGTGTGTGTGTGTGTGCGCGCGTGCGTGCGTGCGTGCGTGTGTGTGTGTGTGTGTGTGTGTGTGTTTTATTGCTCTTGTTAAACCAAGGGGAGTGGTTTTGCGGAAGGTGCAGACCTAAGAGTTATTGGCCAGCGGCAGGTTTGGACAGACAGGTGCGCACTGTAAAACATTTGAAGTAACTATGACTACTTCTGCCTTAAACATGTGGTTCTTAACCAAAATAAAAACATACAAAACTCATATAATTAGTAAAAAGTATTTTAATATTATTGCAATGTAAGAAAAAATAAAAATAAGCTCACTGCCCTGGAAAAAGCAAAGGATCAAACTTAAGATATTATATCCTATTACTAACACTAACAAGTTAAATTCAAGTTATATAATGTTACTTGGGTCTCGCACAACATGGCAACCTCCGCATCTAAAAAGCAAAGCCAAAACAATTAACTTGAATTCTCTCTAATATCCAGTCGCAGGCGACTCCTCAGGTTGCAAGAAATGAGTCCAGTTGTATAGACTTATATGAGAAAATTACACTACTTCTTCCTTTATTTATTGCCTCTGTATACATTTTGTTGATACGTTTTGGTTTCAATTATGTTGTTTAAGTCCTTTCAAAACAGCATATTGTTCACTTTGTAAGCTTTGATCCCATTTGTAGACAGAAAAGCCGTGTACATTTTGGGGCGTGGCTAGGATTAAATAGTTAAAAAAGCTATTTATTTTAAGAATGAAATTCACACATGCTCAGCCTGTTTTCTCTATTAACATGTTGGGAAGATGATAAAAGAGGTTAACAGACGTGCAGACCTAATTGAGATGGAGGATGCACCGACCATCCAGCGAATACCTGCTTGAATATGCGCACGTGAAAAATCCCTTCCCCAGCAGCAGCCCTGCCACCACCAACATATATTATCCACAAAGAGCAGAGGAAAACAAGGCCGTGTGCCTGTGAAGTCATGCCAGGAATTTACAACACGTATTTTGTAGGGGGAAAAAAGGTTGAAAAATACATGCCCTGATTTTCCTACAAACAATTCAATGTGCCGTGTTTCCTGAGTTTATTTTTGGTAGCAATCCGAGAGGTCAAACCTGCAATGATCTGCTTGCTTGCAGTTAAAGCAGATTGTGAAATGTGGTAAAGTAATTATTCATAGTAAATTCCTTTATAAGTGCTAAAAGTGACTTTGCACTACTTAAACAGCAAACCATGTGAGACAAGGCTCAGTGGGTCTAATATCCAAATGACCAGAGACAGTGCTGTGCGGCATGGCCTCTGTGGGATCAGACTACCTGTTGTTGAGAATGAAAGGAGGCCCACATCTTCTCCTTGGGTACCCAGAAATCAGAGGTGAGAATTGTTTCTCATTGTCTCTCTATTTGTCAATAGGACTTGCAGCGCGGAGCTTTGGCGACTGAACACAGTGCGCTGGAGCAGGGTCGCAACCCCTCCGTCTCTCTCCAGTGAGCTGCTTCCAAATGACAGTCTCTCTCCCCCCCTCTCTCTGTGTCTCTAGTGTTGGCTGTGCTAATTGTTCTCAGGGCTGGGGTCTGTCACTTGAGGCCCGTATTCTCGCATCTGTGGGTCACAGGCTCCAGCAACCACTGGAGTAGAGTGTGACAGCTCCTGTTATTGTGTGTGTGTGTGTGTGTGTGTGTGTGTGTGTGTGTGTGTGTGTGTGTGTGTGTGTGTGTGTGTGTGTGTGTGTTTGTTTTTTCCCAAAGCCTAATGAGTGTGAGAGGGACGGTGATGCCTCGCTTCAGGCAGTCATGATGGTGTGCTACAGGAATGAAAATAAAATGCTAATCAGCAAAACAGTTAAGATTTTAAGCAGCGTGTAGTTGTCAGAGACAGC